CAATTATATAGACTTTTCAAAATTTCCACTTTTGCTAGTGATGCAATTAATTGTTTATCAAGCAAAGTATTTTTGTAACGAGAATAGTATTTGTAATTAATTTCTTTTTAATCCAATTTTTATATTTAGACGTACATCATTTCTACATCAATCTAATAAATTTAAAGAAATGATAATTTTAATTATGAAATTTCTAATAAAACGTAACTCTTGATATCGTGAGATGGCTCTCTTGCAGACAAAAAAATTGAAATTAAGTTTTAAAAAAATACTAGTTTCAATTATGTTGACTCTCTTGCAGACAAAAAATTGAAATTAAGATTTAAAAAAAATAGTAGTTTCAATTATGAAATTTCTAATAAAACGTAACTCTTGATATCGTGAGTTGGCTGTCTTGCAGACAAAAAATTGAAACAAGTTCAACGAGTCAATTTATCCCGAAAATCGACATATTTAAGAGTTTTTTTTTTTGATCTGAAAAGTGTACACTCGATATACAGATAACATCGCCATTTTTCATTAGAGTGACTCGCGCCGTCTTCGAAGTAAACGGCTCAATTATGATTCGCGAATCTCCGCGCAACGAATTAAATACGAAGTCCTTGTTAGCGTATAAAATTCAGAAAAATTTGCCTCGCGTTTGTATCGTACGAAAGACATGGACGATCCTATTTCGAGAACCCCACCCTCTCTATCTCGGATTCATCGCGCCTTATGAAACACTTTTGCACGCACACTCGCAGCATAATTAAACCTGCCCAACATTGTAGACCGACAAATTAATTAATTAAGCCGAGAATTTTCCATCGTACCCAGACGATTTAATCTCGGTAGTCGAGGGCTGCCGACGATCCCTGTTTCTTTCTCTTCGTTCCTCTGTTTTCCTTTATTTCCCTTTTCTCTTTTTCCTTTGTCGACGGGCTAATCGTCCGAATACGTAAAATCGATCGCGCGCGCGCCTTGAATCACAATGCGCGTTCGAGTCGCGTTTATTACACCGCTGTAATTACCCGATTCGATTCGATTCGATTCGAATCGAATCGAATCGAATCCAAAGGGAGCATTCACATTCCAGCCTGATTTTTCAATCTTTTCACCGGAGCTGGAAATGCTTCGCATTTCGTCGCGCAGATTGTAACAATTTTTATTCCCGACATGACGAGAACGAACGCGGAACGAACATTTTTTTTCTTTTTTTCTTTTTTTTTTTTTATTTGGGTATCTCCTCCTCCATCCTCGTGCATGTTTGTTACGCAATTTCGTTTATTCGTTATTTAAACGAGGGACTTGTTTATTCATCGCGTGTTTACAACACGCGGGAGTCTGCGCGTTTTAATTTTTAAGCCGCGTACATGTTAATTAAATCCTTTGAAACGCTGTGTTCGGGAAGAGAGTCAGGTTAAAAAAANAAAAAAAAAAAAAAAAAAAAGAAAAAGAAAAAAAAAAGGAAAAAGAAGTTTCTCATTATTACAATTTTTCTATTTTTCTCCGTTTCTCTCGTCCGTGCGGTCGAACAAATGTGCATTCTCGATGAATCGTGCCATCACGTTCCAAGAAAATCTCGCAAATGGTGTGATGGCCGATTCCTCGCGCCGCGTATCTACCCGTGATCACTTTCGATCATTCGCTGCCGAGGATCAGGACGTTAAATTTCGTTGCAAGTATCGCGACTTTTCGCTATCGATCCTTCTTGTGTAAAAGTGGCGAACCAGGCTTTTCGCAGTTGTTTGCATCCGCTTTTAACCGCTAAGAGAAGCTGAAATCGGGTCACCGCTCGACCACCTCCGATCTATTCGCGAATCTCTCCTATCCTCGCGTGAAAGTGTCGGCGCGATTTTAAATAATTGAGAGACGAGCGGTAAATTCGAAGGCGATTCGTCGTACGCCGATTCGGGAATAGAAAACTTGACCTATTCTCGAGTTGAACTCCGTACCGGTTGTATTCTAGATACTCGGCTGCACCACCAGACGAACCGTTTCGCCAAAGAATGTTGTTAGTCTGGTTAACTTTCTTGTTTGTTATGCAATTTTAACGTACATATGTAGGTACACACACCTACGTGGAAGTTCCATACCACCGCGATTGCGTGAGACTGATGTAGCTGTCTCTAGCCTCTGCACTCTAGACACATTCTAGATTTTACGTTTTAAATTATTAATATTTAATACAGTTAAATTAAAAGTAAAACGTAAAATAAATATTTCAATAAATTTTAAGTTTATAAATTTTTAGTAAATTTAGATTAAAAATAATTTTTCTTAATAATAATATTATTATTATAAATATTATGCAAAAATTTATTAATTTATCTTCATAAAAATAAATTAGATTTAATATTAATACATTATTTAATAAATTACTTATAATTCGCATTGAATAAGAAATAGTTGATATTGTTCTAAATAATAACATAATTAAACAGACATAATAATTTTTTAATTATACATATTAATTATATATGAACGCATTAATTATATAAAATACATTAGTTATATATATTTTTCCCCCCAAAGTTCCACGTACGATTATTTTAAGTGCTGTTGTATGGCGCATCTAAGTCTTAACAATCTAACCGGTCAAATAATCGATTAAAGGTCTTTTTGCAAGAGGAATATAAGTAATTGGTCAATTTAATATAGGAAACAGTGCACGAAGTAACTTTTAGATAACAGGGGGGAAAAAGAATGCTAAATTTTCACTTTCTTCTTTTTTTTTTTTTTAACGAGAGTTACGAAAATAACAATGAATGCAGAATTTTAAATCACGTTTTTGAACCAATCATTTGACCAGACATTGACACGTTTAGCCTAAATTGCCCCTAAATTTTCTAGTTCCTCGTGCTAAAAAGAGATAAGTTATAGCGAAGGGGAAATGTTTCCCCGAATAAAAAGAGGAACTGTTTGTTAATTTTTTAACTACACTCTCCCAAAATTCCACGTACGATTCTTGTGCGGCGTATTTAAGTTTCGAATTTCATAGATCATCGTGCGAGAAAAGACGAGCTACTTCACGAAGAATAAAAATAAAACGCGAAGTTCCTCGAGTAACGATGTTTCATCGTTCAGCGTCAATGTTTCATCAAACAAACAAAGGGAAATGTTTGTCAATTTCTGCGTACAATACTTATATCCGGTATAAAATATCCGAGCTTCAAAAAAATATTTTAACGTGCCGTTTTCTGGTTCGTCATGGCTAGAATAGACCAGCCAATTGGCGCGTCGTTACATCTTCGTTACAAAGGAGAAAGAAAATGAAACGGGCGAGGTTAACCCCCTGGTTAATACGTTTTTCAGCGTCGATGTTTCCCTCGCGGCGTAAAGAAAAAGGAAATAAACGAGGCGAATAATACGACAATAAAGTCGCCGAAGATGTGACGTTTAATTCGATAGGGGGAGGGAGGAGGAAGATCTCGGCGTCTTAAAGAACCGGAAGTCGTTCGTAAATCACCGCCGTTTCATTACCGCCCTCCGTCGGTGCCGCGGTGACAGCGCTTTATTTCAGAAATCCCGCGCCAGGTGGAAAATAATTCCATCGCCGGTGAAACAATATCTGGTTGCCGAACTCTGGCTCCCTTCTTGCAAGAAGGGCGTTTTGACTTTCAACCGTGGCGCGGTTCGTTAAGCGAAAACGCTCTTCCGTGAACCAACCTCCTCCACCTCTCCTCTCCTCTCCTCTCCTCTCCTCTTCTGCTTTTTCGTTGATCTCGGTCACTTCTCATCCTTGTGTTGTACTATATACGTCACTGCCACCGGAAAATGTTGCTCAATTTTGTCCGCGACACGGCTAACAGCGGAAAAAGAGATAAATAACCTCTTACGCAGCAGCTAAGATCCTGGTTAATAAAGCGAAAGTATTTATATATGATTTATTCACCGCGAATAGAATGTTAAATGTTCCTGGCTAGAACGTAATCGTGGAGTAAAGAAAGTTATATTATAATTATGATCGACACTGCAAAGAGAAACATTATTTTACATTACACATATTTTACATTATTTACTTTATTTACTTTATAATTATTGACTTATATTTTATTTACTTTATAATTTAAGTTTATTATTTTATTTACTTATAAATACTTTATAATTATTGACTTATATTTTATTTACTTTATAATTTAAGTTTATTATTTTATTTACTTATAAATACTTTATAATTATTGACTTATATTTTATTTACTTTATAATTTAAGTTTATTATTTTATTTACTTATAAATACTTTATAATTATTGACTTATATTTTATTTACTTTATAATTTAAGTTTATTATTTTATTTACTTATTTACTTAATTTAAGTTTATTATTTATAATTTAAGTTTATTTTATTTACTTTATAATTGTTGACTCACTTTTGTATTTAATATTCCCATATATCGTGTACAATTTTAATTTTATTTTGTATTTATAATTTCAATTTTATTTTGTACTTTTAATTTTAATACTTTCGTTCATTGTTATCTAATTTTCTAGTTGTTACTTTTTTTTACTGTTATTCAATTTTCCATTGTCATCTTTTTTATTAAATTTTAATCGTTATACATTTTTAATGTTTAATATTCTCATATAGTTTTGCATTTGTAATTTTAATATATCTTCATTCGTTATTATCTAATCTCGTGTTATTGTTTGTTACTCTTCAATTTTCTATCGTCATCTTCATTAATTTTTAATTTTCATGTCGTTTTCAATATTTAATATTCTCACTTTGGTTTTGCATTTACAATCTTAATATTTTCATTCATTATTATCTAATTTTCTTATTATTGTTATACAATTTTCCTTTATCATCCTACTTATTAATTTTTAATTTCTGCGTTTTTGATGTTTAATATTCTGATACATTTTTATATTCTCGTTCATTGTCATCTAATTTTCTATTGTTATTATTTCATTTTCCATCGTCGTTTTATTTATTATTTTTCAATTTTTTACGTCGTTGTCGTCATTATCAAATTATGTTCGTTATTTAACCATAATGTTTCTTCTGACATGTTTCAGGTAAGTCGAAATCAAAGCCTCGCCCGGAGATCAATCGCAAAAGTCTGTCCATCAGCGGTGGTGAGTGTTACTTGCGTAAAGTTTCAAGATGCAGGAGATTTATTTATTGTGTATACGCGCTATTTAGAATGAATTTGAAAATTGACTGCAGGGCCATTCGTTTATATAGACGAGAATATTGAAATAACGAGATTGTTGATACGTGATCGTATTTTATTTTCATTGCATCGCGATGCGAAAAAGTAAACGTTACTCGATACGGACAGTTAATTAGACAACATAATTAGAAATTTGATCGATTCGGTTAATTAATGGCCGAAGCGTTCAGTATTTAAAGAGCCTCGATATACTCGGATAAATTAAATGTACGGCAGAAAATGGTATGGTTTCACTGGCATATTAAACGCACAGAATACGCACACACGCGTCTCATCAACTATTTTTAAATATAACGTCCTGTCTTTTTTAAACATTTTACGTACATTTTACGAGACCTGTTTCACTTTTTAGTATCAGAAAATCTTCAGAAGCAAGCAATTTTATTTTAACCTCTTGCGCTGGAATGACGTGCCACGCACGTCGAGTATTTTTTCGTCCTAAATTGCAACATTTTCTCAGTTTCAAGTATATTTGAATGTGACCCAGGCAAAACAAATGATAAGTTTATCACTTCTTGATAATTTCTATCTAGTGATACCATACCGACAAGTTCAAAAAGGAAGCGACGAATTGTTATGTACGGTTCGGCCACTCGTTATGGCCCGCAATCAGTTGCTACCGCAAGTGGTAATAAGTAATATTTTCTGACACTGTAGAAAATTTTATTTTATTTCAAAGTTAATACAGCTTTAATCTGTAATATAATTTAACAATAAACACGCTAAATGTCAATGTATTTAACTAGAATATAGGTTATATTAGGCATAACATAGGTTGTGTTACAACATATAATACATTATAGCACATTATATAATATATTATAGCACAACACGTTGTAATAAGTAAAATTATATATTTAAGTAAAACAAAATAGGCAAAACAAATAATAAATTTCTTACTTCTTGATAATTTCTATCCAGTGATATACCGACGAATTCAAAAAGAAAGAGAAAGCGACGAATAATTGTATTTGGTCACTCGTTACGGTCCGCAATCAGTTGTCAGCGCAAGTCCCCAAAATTGCAATATTTTCTCAGTTTTAAATATATTCAACTATAACCAAATATACAGGCAAAACAAATAATAAATTTGTTACTTCTCGATAACTTCTATCCAGTGATATTATACGGACAGGTTCGAAAAGAAAGCGACAAATTAATGTACACGGTTCGGTCATTCGTTAGGGTCCGCAATCAGTTGCCAGCGCAAGTCCCCAAAATTGCAATATTTTCTCAGTTTTAAATATATTCAAGTATAAACAAATAATAAATTTGATCCTTCTCAATAATTTCTATCCAGTGATATCATACCGACGAGTTCGAAAGAAAAAGAAAGCGACTAATTATTATATACGGTTCGGTCACTCGTTACGGTCCGCGAACCAGTTTCCAGCTGCAATGGGTTAAAACCCATTTTTATCTCGTTTATTTCGTTTCAATTTCTAACCTAAAAATCACCCCCCTCTCCCCAAGCGAGTGGAAATAACGTCGCCGATGTTCAAATTCAGAACACTCGGTCACGCGTCTTTGCTTTTATCGGTGAATGTCATCGCGGGCAAACGAGATTATACAGGAGCAGCAGCACGTAAAAATATTGATTACGCTTCACTTAGCTTCGTCACGTTTCAGGTATCTCGTCCTTCTTCCCTCTTTCGCTCCCTTCTTTCTTCTTTTTTTTTTCACCCTTCTTCCCCCTATCGTCTCGACGCCACTTTCCGCATTTCTCTCTCTCTCTCTCTCTCTCTCTCTCTCTCTCTCTCTTTCTTTGCTATGCCGAAACCCACGGTCAATTATTAATCGCACCGCGATGAATTATAAAATACGCGTTCAACGATCGCCGCCGCTGACACTGAGTGCGGACCTCTCTCTGGTACCGGAGAAATTTTCACCACGCTATTTACGTCCACTGGACACTAAGGTCGAGATAAATGAATAAGTGAAACGTGCAAACGAGAATTTTTCTTTTTCTCATTTTTTTTCGCTCGCCTAACTAGCCTCCCCTTGATTACAAGTACGTCTGAATAAACCTGCTGTCGCCTGTTTGATTTAGATTTTTAGATTACTCGAGTTTACTCTTTGGACAAAGCACCCTTCGATTTCTTTTAATTTCGTAATTTCCATCGATTTTTCGAATTTGTCAAACTGCAAGCGACAGCGTCGTGCTCGCGCACACGTTCTACACGATCGAGTCGCAAGTGCGCGCGCTCGTAGTAGGGATCTCTAAGTAGCTGTTCTAACTGTTGAACGGCCCAGGAAATACTTGTTATGCGTGCTTGCCGAGAAATTCATTCATAGCCCGTATTCGTGAAGTTCATTCGTGCTCCTGCTTGCTCGCGTTTAACTTGAATACTTCTCCCTTATGCGTGAAATTTACCCTCGGTATCGTACGGCAGCGTCTAACGAGGGCTTCGCAGTTGCCGGGTTTATTGTAGTTACCGCTTGCTGTTTCGTGTACATACGCTGGCTCACAAAGAAACAAGAAGCATTAAGGCTACACTGTAACTCTGCTGCAGCTTTAGCCTCGTTTTTCTTTCTTTTTTTTTTTTTCTTTTTTTTAACGCTGTGCTATCTTCTTATTGAGAAAAAATATTTTGTATTATATTTTTATTACATTATATTAACTATATTTATATTATTATTATATAATATTAAATATATTGTATTATATTTATATTATTATATTATATTAAATATATTATATTATATTTATATTATTTTTATATTTATTATTATATAAATGTAAATATAATATAATTTATTATTATAATAATAAATATTAGATAATATTAAAATAAGTAATATAATATATATATTATTTTTATTTTTATATTTATATTTGTGAAAAAAAATTCGGCAGTACGTAGAATCCACAGAAGGAAATTGTTTGAAAAAAAACGTCTTTTTTTTCAAACAAACGATTCTCTTTTTTACGAGAGCGTTCTCGAGCCAGAAAATTGATCCAAGGTACGTTATATTTGACGTGTGCACATCTAGCAATCACCGACGTTAACGTAAATCGTCGCGGCTGCTCCGTCTTGAAAATGGAAAAATAAGAATACGGGGAATCTCGCTTAATTCGCGCGGAGCACGACGTGGTGGCAACGCGCTGAAGAAATATCGCGCAATATCCTTGGGATATTACGCCACGCAGTTACATTAAAATGTCTCGCTACTTAGTAACTCATTGTAACTCAACCATGTTGCTTGCATGACAAAACAACGCGAAACAACTTAACCTCTTGCGCTGACAACTGATTACGGACCATAACGAGTGACCAAGCTGTATACAAAAATTCTTTCTTTTGAACTCGTCGGTATGATATCACTGGATAGAAATTATTGAGAAGTAATAAATTTATTATTTGTTTTGCCTCGGTTATATTCTATATATATATTTCTTTATATATATATTATATTTATATATTATGTATATTATATATATTTTTTATATGTTATGCATATATATATATATATATTTTTTTTTACATATATATATTTATATATATTTTTTATATATATATATTTAAAACTGAGAGAATATTGCAAAAAATTCTCGACGTGCGTGGCACGTTATTCCAGCGCAAAAGGTTAAAACACGCGACCATAAAACGACCAGGCTGCGAGATCGTGTAACAATCCGTCGACTTTTGGATATTGTTGAATGATCGCGTCTGTAACATTGAAATTTCAAACGATGGTAGCAGAAACTGCTGTTGGGAATGTCAATCGCGAGAAGAAATCGATCGAACGTCGGACACCGGCGAAAGCTCCACGTTGCGAAAGCAGTGTAAATATTAGAGTATCCGGCGTGGAGGGCGTTTCGAACCGGCCCGACTGATATTCGACAATTATCGTCCAACGACTTCGATTCTCAATAGCGAGCGTTGCCTTCAATTATCCTGATTAGCAGTAGCGTATAGCTACTATGCCCCCGAATGCCTCGACGAGCCCTGTCGATCGGGGTTCGTTTGTAATTTAGAGGGTTCGAATGCTACGCGCGCTTCCATCGTGCTTAAAGTTACGACGCATAACAGTTCCACCCTTAGAAATTACGTATGAAAACAATTTTTTTCGGGCGCTCGATTATCCATCTCTTTCCAAGCCTTCACTTTCCAAATACGCGTACATTCGTTTTGTTTGAAAATGTTTTTGCATTTCGCGTTTGCGGGCGAGGAAATGAAAAATTTGTAAATATTTTTTTATACGATTGAATGATAGATTTGAAGATCGTAGTGAAAAATCATACAAATGTTGATCTACAAATTGTCAAACAAATTTTGCTCGCTATTGAATCTATGACTGATGATTTGAAAAGTTGTATAAATATTGATTTATAAATTGTCAAAAGAATTTATTTGCTATTGAGTGTATGATAGATTGATCTATAAATTGTTAAAACATTTTATTCATGACTGAATCTACGATAGATTTAAAGATCAAAGTCTTCTACTTGCAATGACTCCTTAAAACTTGACGTACGATTTCTTTTCTCCTGTCATTTTATTGAACTTTGAAAAATCAGGTTTTTCAAGAAATCCATGCTCGTTTGATATTCAAGATTCGATATAAAATGGCGAGGAAAAATCGTACGTCAAGTTTTAGGGGGTTATTGTAAAGAGGAGATTTCGATCTTCAAATCCATTGTAGGGAGAAAATTGTGAAGAAAATTCATCAATTGCGAAGAAAATATTTCAATATTTGTACGTGCTACGACAATTTATAGGATCCTTCGACAAGAAAAGTGTCTTCACATTACTATGCCGCTGCACGACATAAAACAGATAAATGAATAGCATATTTTGAAGGTAGAGGCTTCAATATTAAAAAAAAAAAAAAAAAAAGAAAAAATAGATAAGATCCAGTTTTATTCTTGCACGATTTTGCTTCACGAAATTACAAGTATCACGTAGCACACGTACGAGAAGTGAAATTTTCAGGACAGAAACGAACAATTTGACACGTTCGTCGTTGCGA